TCGGAAACAATTTTCCAAGATAAACTAATTACATTCAAGCCTGACTATAAAACTATGTTTTACTAAAATATTTGTTAAAAACATCGACATTTTTTTAAAAACATAATTCTATATGAAATTTTCAGTTAGCAATATTTAACCAACGTTCGTTATTGTTTGGAAAGGTGGATAATATTAATACTGTTTAGCTCACGTTGTTGTACCGGCCAAAGTTATTGTTGAGAGGGTGCGAAATTAGGTTAATAACAGCAAATGAAAACACGAGAGAGAGAGAGAGAAAGAGAGAGAAACGGTCGAATAAACAGAGTGTTCGCTGTCCGAGAACTCATTTCGGCAAACAGCCATAAAAATTGTAAACACAACCGCGAATATAAAATAAACAGCATAAACAAATTCGTTGTTCGCTGTCCGAGCTCGTTCGGGCGCATCTCGTCGTTAATTCGAATACTTTCGTACCACCGAAATTCAGCAGTGTTCCAAATTACTACAATTAAAGGAATGTTAAATAAAGCTCGTCGTTAATTTTAACACGCGGAACATTAACGAGTCTATACTGTAATTCTATGCGGTTAATTACTTCGTCACTGGCGAGAATACCTGTACGAATTCTCTCGCAATTCTCTGCAAATAAGTCTGCAACTTCAGGTTACGATCTTTTTTATCGAATGCAACGTGTTGCAACAAATTTTTTTCTACATTTTACCAAAATGACGGGTCGCTAATTTTTCTATTTACGATTATTCGAATTAATAATGTGCGAAGACACGTTTGTGAGTTATTGTATATTCGATGTATGCGTTACTTGCGGCGATAATATTCGCAGTTTCAGACTTTGTTTTACTATAACAGTATAATAAACAGAATAATAAACGTTAAAAAATCAGAATTAATAATATGAAGATAATAATAGAACAGCTGATTTTGGTGGTCGGTAAATCTAGCGTTAGGAAATAAATAAGATAAACTTTTACAATAAGTTGCGTAAACAGCTTTCTGGGATAATTAATACTGTCGCTACCCGTTCCCGTCGGATATAAACGAGATTACGATCCCGCTGGGACACGCGATTGACAGCGAGTAGCCGGCATTGCGCTCCACCGCAGCTTTGCCAGCGTTTCGCGAGTATGGGTGGCAGAGAAACGGACTCGGGAAGATCCCGGCGTCAGGCAGATGTTCCTTCAAGAGCACTTGTCTGGTCGGGTGAATTATCGACTTTGCTACTTCGACCCCGATCCATCGGATCGTCCTACATGCTCCGGGAACCTTGGGTATTTCACGCGCCCCTTCTCCCTTTCATGTGGCTTGCGAGCGATCCGTTAGGCAATCGAAAAATCTTTTGATATCGCTTCCGGATTTTGCCGTCGGAAAATGCCTTTCTTGATTTACACAACGCTGAACTGGACCCATCGATTACAGCGGCGAGCAGACACAGTCGGCCGTAAAGCTTACAAACACCCGCGGATTTTCGGATATCACGGACAAAAGAGTCCAGCACGTTTCACGGACCTCGAATGACTCGCTAATTACGGCCGAAATTCGATTGACTCGGGAAAATTGGAATTACCCTGAATTCTTTACGTCCGTTCGTAATTCCGGGCGTAAGGAACGCAGAAGTTCGAAAGCATATTTTTACGAAAAAATGGGGCGATATTCACGAAATTTATTATCATCGTTCTTGTTGTAATAATTTTTATTTAGTTTTATATATGCAGAATATGTTGTGTATAAGTTATTGTGTTTTATTTGAGTTTAATTTATTGCATTTTGTTCTATTTGATTTCAGTGCATTTCTATTTCATTTCTATTTCATTTCTATTTCAATTTGATTTTATCTCTCTATTTTATTTTATCTATTTTATTTTATTTATCTATTTAAAAGTTTCATACATTTCTGTATTTCGCTTCGTTTATCTTTCTTTCTGAACCAACGTGATCTTGAAATTGATTTTTATTCCAATATATCGAACAAGCAGAATCGTATTAGGAATGTTTAAAATACACAAGATTAAAGTTAATGTTTATTGTACTAAATTTTAACGCTCCAGTTTTGATTTCACCAATGAAATCTCATAACGAGGAAGCTGCCAAATTAATCAGTGACCACAAAATATTCAAAATCTCTCTCTTTTGTGTCCACTATTTCAAAATAGAGAAAATGCCTTACGGACGACGATCGTTATTAAAAAAATATTTAGTTTATTACAAAGCAAGCAATCGAATTTGGCGAAAAACACTGTGCCTCTTTGTATTTTACAGAAATGATAAATGCAGCGATGATGGTTTCTTCCGCTAACAGACGCTGATCTGCTTTCTTTTTCATGTTTTCCCTCCTTGGACGTTCTATGCGTCATTTCGACGACTATGCCGATGGTGGTGGTGGGAACGGCGACGCTAACAACGGCGATACCCTAACAATCCGCATGGTACCAACGACACGCTGATTAACTCTGGTGACGGTGACCACGATAACGCGACGATGTGTCGCTGTGTTGGTGACCGCAATGCCTGGTACACGGTGGTCACGCTGACAACAATGACACGTTAATAAATCACGGTGACGGTAACCACGCTTGACAATTCGTACGAACCACGGTCAATGGCGACCGCATCGATACGCTAATATTTTGCGAACACCTTGCTGGGCTGATTACGCTTAATCGCATCTTCTTTCGAACGCTTTCCACGTTTTTCCTCCGTTTCGCACAATTTTTCACTCTATCTTGCTATCTTGCTATCGATTCTATCGATACCATTACGATTTATTGATCTCGGTGCACTTCCGTTGATCCACTGCACCTTCCATTGCACTTTTTGCAATGCACTTTTCTTATCGGCATTTTCAACGCACTTTCGTTACGCAATTCCCTTCTGCACTTTTGCCATGCACGTTCAAACGAACTTTTGTCATGCACTCTTCCAATGCACGGTTTTTACGCTCTCTCGCAATTTACGTTTCTTTTTTTAATATATTTTTGCCACGCTTTTTAATTCACTTTCTCGATGCAAATTTTCTAATGCAAATTTTCTAATCTACTTTTTTGATGCACTTTTTCAATGCGCTTCTCTTATGTACATTTGCAATGCACTTTTGTTAATGGTCTTTCCTTATGTAATTCTTCCATGCGCGTTTTTAATGCACTTTTCGCACGCACGTTCGCCATGCACGGTTTCCAATTCACTTTACCGATGCTCTTTTTTAATATGCTTTTCTTCCGTATTTTCGCCACGCACTTCTTAACGATTTTTGCTCGTGTAATTCGTTCGTGCACGCTCTCAATGCACCTCTCTTATGCACTGTCATCGCGTACGTTCCCAATGCACATATCTCACGCACATCTTCTCGCGCATCTTCGACGCCGCGCGTCCCCCGACACGATCCATCAAAATCGTCCAACATTTCCGCAAATCGCTTCGATATCCGCGATCCTTTCACACCGTACACGGACGCTGTCCAACAAACCGCCTTCTCGCAACACCGCTCCACCCGTCCCGAGTTTTCCAATTCGCAACAATCCCGGTACATTTCAATCCCGAAAACTCTCGACGCCGTTCCGGAAAAAATTCGAAACCCGAAACTCGCGCCCGTGTTCGTGCGTCTGTGTCTGTGCACACGTGCGCGCGCTCGCGTCTGAAAATTAATCGCGACCGGTTCGCGTGACAAACGGACAACGCCGGCATTTGCGGGCTCGCGGAATTGCGGCGATCGCCATCGGTCCACCGTTTTCGGTTTCGTGTCCGTTCTTACCGTTGGAACCGGCGGATTCCCAACGAAACGGTCGAACGTCTGCGGTTCCGCGTGCAAACTCGCGCCGGCCCGAATTCCGCAACCGGGCTCGCCCCGATCGGTCTCGGGCCTCGCCATCCGGCCTCGGTCGGCTTGTATATCGCGTGTAAACGGAACGACACCGCTCTCGCGGGCCGGGCGTCATCGATACATCGCCGTTCGGCCGATCGCCGATTGATCCACTCGTTAATTACCCCGAATCCCTCGCAACTGATCACCGTTACGGGTCAACGATCGATCCGCCGCGCCGCGCCGCGTCCCGTGTGTCTTTACTTCCGACCGCTCTCGTCAATTCGCACCCCGCCGTCCACCCCTCTCTGCACCCCTTCCGAACCCCTTCGGATGACCACTTTGCCAACATCCCTTTCATACTCCTTTCCGGTCGCTTGTATTTCGAACCCTCGCCGATCGTCGCTTTCACGAACGTTTCATTGTTTAATTCTCTACCCGTTTGTAATCGTCGTTCCGCGCCGCCTATTCTCTTTGCGAGTTCTTCGATCTCGTTACTCGATTTTTCACGTTGTTACGTTGTTTGCGTTCACACGTTTCTACATCGTTCTCGCGCGCGTCGCGCGATATCTTTCGTTCGTGTTTTCGACGGCTTTCACAATCGTCTTATAATTTGCTATTTTTATTTCAATTCGAAACGATCGACGATTTTCTTTCTGTACGATTCCTTAAATTCGACGTTTTCCGCCGTCTCGTCGCGACGCGTTCGAATATACCTTCGTCCCGCGTTGCCCTCGAATTATAATTTAATAATAAATTTAATCATTTTAAATGAATTTAATAACTATAATTTAATACTAAATGTAATCATTTTAAATGAATCTAATAATCATAATTCAATAATAATTCTAATCATTTAAAATTTTTTTTTTTTTTAAATATTATTTATTTTAATAATAATTTAATAATTATAATTTATACTGTATCAATTTATGTGCTACTGTCCGTCGCGTTTCGACCGGATTGCGACACGCTATTTTTTTACTTCATTCTCCGGCTTCGACGTCGCGATCGTTTCACGTCGACGGATCCGGATTTCCGCTTCCCCCCGTTTTTTTTTTAATTCGCCGCGTCACCTGCCGGCCGCATTAAAAATCGTTGTCACCTTCGCGCGGATCTCCTGAATCTGAATCCCGGCCGATTGACGATTGCTCGCGTGCCGTGCGATCGGATTTTACGTTCTGCGGGCACGGTATTGAAACGACAGCCTTGTTATCAGGCACCCTGAAGACCTACCAGCGCGCGGCCTGCGACGAGGAGTTGATGACGCTGAAATGTCCACCAGGCACGACCATCACCGTCGCCCTCGCTCAATATGGCCGGGCTGGGGCGAATGGCACCGGCAGGTGCAGCTCCTACGATCCGTCATCGCTTGCAGGGGACAAACTGAATCACACGTGCATCTGGCCCCAATCGCTGCAGGTACGTGTCAAGAAAACATCTATATCGGTATTAGAAGCTTCCCCCAACACACCACCACATTTGTAGATACTTCGGAGGCCATCTTCGTTCGATTCGATCAGGCCGGTGCTCAGCGAGTCTTTTCTTGCAAACGTAGTCCTGAAAATGCATTCGAGTGAATTAGCTCTGTTCGGATAATTATGCTTAATTATGCTTAACGAAGCACCCATAATAGCAGATCATATAGAAAACATAAAATATAGTGTAGCAATATTTTTATGGTTTCTTGAATAATATAATTTTTTACTGTTAATTAGAGATCTAAATATTTGCTGTTTGTTTTTCAACTTTGAAGGTTTTATTTAATTGAAAATCTTGTTATTATATTGTTATTAAATTGAGATAATATTATGCCCGATGGAAAGGAATAAATTGTAAATTTATGAATGCAAAGAGATTTCCTAATATTACGTTTACATAGTGTAATTAAAACATTTAATTGCAAATTTAAATATACGTTTATTGTAACTGATCTAGCGGAAGTCTCCCTGTTCAGTGCTTCGAGAAGTTGGTATTTAGCTGTTCGATATTGTTAACAAGCTCACTTTGTACTAATAAAGTTGCTGGGACTAGAATAAGCTTCGGAACTCTGGCCTGCGATATACTATGGACAGCTGATTGTTATTACCCTGATACAATGGTCGAGATAAGTCGATATTAACCTGAACACGCGTTGCTGTACGAACTTTATGTTAAAGTATTATCTAAACTGGAATCAACGTGGGACTTTCGTTGAACGTTAGGCATGCCGCGGTAATTAAGCGATAGTTCGCTGAGTTAACAGGAACTTATATTTGCAAATATATTTCTAGCTAGTTGTCCTTCCAGTCGAGGAATTACAGTGGAAATCAGATTAATTGCAAGCGTAATTTTCGTAAAGTATAATTTTCGTGAAGTATAACTTTCGTAAATTATAATTAAAGTATAATATATCAAGTACATAAAGTATATATAAAGTACAATATATAATAATAAAGTAAAATTGTCGACGTCAGGACTGCACACCAGATATTATATATCATATATTATATATTATCTATTATATATCAATATTATTCGATTTGTTTATCCGAATGAATTCTTCCTAGTGGAATATTTTACTCGAATAACGATTATTCATTATATTCGTCATGAATTATTCCATCTATTTTCTCAAAACAGAGATAAATTTCGTAAATTATAATTAAAGTACAATATATCAAGTACATAAAGTATAGTAGCATATATAGTAGTATATAAAGTACATATAAAGTACAATATATAATAATAAAGTGAAATTGACGACGTCAGAACTGCACACTAGATATTATATATCATACATTATATATTATATACCAATATTATTCGATTTGTTTGTCCGAGTGAATTCTTCCTAGCCGAACATTTTACTCGAACAACGATTATTCATTATATTCGTCACGAATTACTCCATCTATTTGCTCAAAACAAAGATCGCGATCTATTTACTCGAACAGAGATCGTGAAATAATTCGACTAATAATCCGAATAATAACGCGAACGATTCCCGACGGTATTTTGTTTGTACACGATTTCACAACAATATATTCAGGATCGGTTCGATACCATCCGCCCACCCACAGAACCACGAGGCAATACCTTTTTCTATATTCTCAGATATTACGTTCGCGTAAAAATGGCGGAACAATTTATTCAGGACCGCCGTGGCTTGCGCACACCGGAATCGTCGTAGCTGCGTCCCATATTTTTCTAGCATCGAATATCAGTTTTACAAACACGTAGCTTTTACACCCCGTTGCAACAGAGACGCGCAACATTTTGCAAAGCAAAGTAAACCGGCGCGCCATCGCGGCAGCGCGGCCCCCGGAAAAGTTACCGTCAAAACTGTGCGTTTCGCCGGAAAATATTTGCAGTCACGTAGGTTCCCGTCGATGCCATTGCGCTTCCGCGCGTTCCCTTCGAATCGTACCCCGCCACCGAAAACCGTTCTTTCCAGACCCTTTCCGAAGGTAAACAAAGCTCACGTCGCCGGCAGTAACTTGAAAAGTGCCATCGTAAAGCATTGTACACGCGCGGCATAGTGCCCCGCGGAACAGCTCGCAGTCGGAAGTTTCAGCTTTGACGTTCGACGCCGGGCCCCGAAACTTTTATCTGCCATCTTCTATTTATTGGGTTCTCGCGGAGCCCTGATTTCTAATCCAGAAGAAAAGACGCCGTCGATTGCCTTTGGCGCGCCAGCCCCGCCGCCCTGGCCCACCTTTAGACTTTCGCCCCGATGGAAGTACCGAGCTGGAAGGAATCGTAAACCGGATCCACTCCGCTGGGCTAACCCTTGTACGGTTCAACCCTCGTAACCTCTGCTTAGGTTTGTAAGCTCTAGCAGTCGGAACGCCCCCCGAAAAAGATTCCGAGCAAGAGCCTTTCAACGCCGGGATTTCGTATCGGGCTTTACTGTCTCGTGTACCTCGCGATTCGATGACGTACACCCACCCATCGTCGTCCGTCTCATCACCCCTCCCCCTTCTCCCCGCCTCCCGGCCCTTTATTTGCAAATCGAACGCGAACTTTACAATCCTTTTTTTACACCTGACCCAAAACGAGTGACGATACAGAGTTTGATAAATATGCAAAGGTTACCGCTTTGTGCCGGCCGTGGCTGCAGTCGTTTTCTCGCTCGTACTCGCCGTTGTTCGACTTCATGCAGATTCAAATGTTCCCGGCGGCCCTCGAGATCGTCTTCGTAAAAATGTTCAAAGGCGATCAGATGCGAGCGAAACGAATGTCCGCTCCTTCTTCCGGTCGTTTCGATAAACGTGGCAACATTCTTTCGTGTCTCCACGGTAGTTTTGCGTTTTAGTCATTCATTTTTCTCGTACGATGTTTATTTATAATCCGCTTGAAACGGATTATTCGTGAATCAACGAATGAACGTGCGAAAATACGTAAATAAAAATAGTATTTACTGCATCAGTGTCTTAATCCTTTTGGCACGAGCGCGCTGTCCGCCGTGACACTGCCATTGTACAGGGTGCCGCGTCGAAAATGCGCGCATAGCACAGGGTCAGTCCACTTTTTTGTATGAAGATTTTCTTAAGCGTCAAGCAATAACTGTGCTCAATCAGTTTCTAAATCTTTCGTTTTCTGTAAACATTCTGTTAAAGAGTCTACAATATGTTAAAAACTATGAAGAAGTTTCGAAGAAAAATGTAACCTGAAATTTTTTAACACTAAACCTACCGCGGTCAAAGTGACCGCTTTGTTATTTTGCAATTCTGCAAAGTTCCAAGACTCTTTCGTGGAAAACGCTTGAATAAGTTATATTATTGGATCAAGTTCTATAATAAAAACATTACAAATTCCAAATAAATTCGGTCTTCTCACTTTTGTGAAGCAGTACATGCCAGTTAGTATTACTGCTTGGTAGGTTTAGTGTTAAATGAAAATTCAGATCAAACGACAATTATACATGTAACTGTTTTTTTCGGAATCCTTGTAAGAAGAGACTTTATCCGTTCGAGTCCCAGGGATTATTCTGGAAACACGGCTGAAAAAATGTCGAACAGCGTGATAGCGCGCTTGTCTTAATTGATTGCGAAGAGAATGAAGCGGCACGATAGCGCTCGTCGAGATTGACAAACGAAACAAAAAGAAAAGAAAATGAAAAAAAAGCTGTAATATGTGCTGTAATATGTATATGTACTATATTATAATATGTATGTAATATATATTATTAATATTATATATATATTATATATATTATTGTTAATATAAATATAATAAATATAAATAATTTATATATAAAAATAATATAATATAAAAAAAATAATAATATATAAGAATATATATAACAATATAATATAAATATAATAATAAAATATATATAATATATATATACATGTGTGTGTGTGTGTGTGTGTATATGTATAAAAGCAGCTGTGCGTCACTGAAGTTTGATCGCGACGCAAGATCTGAACAGCGCGCGATCGCGCTGCTTGGTATTCAAACGGTTATTAGAATAATTTCTAATATGTCAGAAATATCGCTCACATGGATGCCAGATGTATTCGGCAGTCGTCCATACCGGTCATCAGACGGATGAGCGTGAACGGAATGAAGCATTTCTCTTGGAATCATTTTATGCTTCGAATTTGAATGTCCGGCTGAAATGAAAATTCGGCGCTGAATTTATCCGATGGAAATCCATAGAAATTGTACAAAAACTATATGATCGACATAGTATACACGTATTAATACGTTCGCTGGCGGCGATTTTGTATTTCACGCGAAGCGCATCGAACGGATTTTGTGAACGCAATTCTTGAACCTTTTAGGCACGACGCGCCACTATAGTGGCTTCCGCGGATGTTATCTCTCTGAACGACGCACCACTATAGTGGCTTACTCTAGTAGCTCACTCGGTCATCGTTTCAATCAAATAATCGTCTTCATATGCATTGTTTCACACTTCATTTGTCTTCACATCGATTTACAATATACAGACTTATGTCAACAATATAACTGTATCTTAACAATACACAGACACTCTGTACGGTACATATCAGACTCTGCCGTCCAGAGAAATAGCCTCGCGCAGAATTCAGCCGTACCTAAAACGTTAAAATTTGTAACACGTGCCACGGTATTTGTATTAATTAATAGCCTCTCGTTGTCGGCACTTTTATCAGATTTTATAAGGGTATACGGCGTGTTTAATGCGACAAATACGATGGACAGATGTAACAGTGCACGCCGGTGACGCTTCGCTCGTAGGCGTCGAACGTGTCGTGCACGTTCGTGCGAATCGAAGAGTGTTCCGCGGTCGTGGCTGCGATTTTCTAGAGTAAAGCGTTCGGATCCCCTTGCATATCGATTTCCCGTCTATTTTCCAGCTGTTTAATGCCGGAACGTTGCCAGAATTAACGATACACAGACGGAGCGACAGGGCGCGCGGACGGGCGTTGTAACGCGATGAATTTTCAAAC